ACACACACCATTTTTAAAAACACACACGTCATTTTTAAAACACACGTTTTTTAAAACATCCACGCCATTTAATATACACATGTCCTTTTAAACACACACGTTTTTTTAAATGCTCATAATTGTAAACACACACGTCATTTTAAGACACACATCATTTTTAATTCACACGCGATTTTTAAAACACACGTTTTTTAAAACACCCACGCCATTTAATATACACACATGATTTTTTAAAGCACATACCATTAAAACGCACAGTCACGCCGTTTTTTTAAAATTCACACATCATTTTAAAACACACACGCCACGGCCTCCAATACGTACGTAATTTTGAATTATTAGTACGTTTTCTTCTAGTATACACAAAACAATAAATTTACATTCCGCGCCTCGTACGCCAACAAAACCTAAGTTTTTATAGATACAAGCATGACATTTAGTACATGTGTGTTTAATGTGCTAATTAAAATATGAATTTACCACTGATCTCTGTTTTTGAGATTTTGTAAAAGCTCACGAAGATTTAAAAGTTAGCATCATATGAGATGAATATTTAGCTTCTCTTCCTTCCATTTAAGCGCTAGCCACCACGTCTTTACACTGTCATAAAATCCAAGTACATGTATAAGAATAAGACGTCCTGCTAGCCTGTTCGCTTCGAAAATTGGAATTGAGATTTCTCTGCAAGTTTCGTAAAATGGTGGCTGAAACTTTCTAGAAATGAAATTGAACCTGAACCTCACTGATCGCGGCATATTACACAGCATAACTTGGTGATTTTGTTGAGAAAACGAGTAAAATACTAACCGTCGCTCACGCTGCTTTTGGAGGCAGCCATGTTGTGTACACCCTCAACATCAAAATATGTTCAAAGCTTGAGTTCTCGATGTCAAAACTAGCGGATTTCATTCCTGCAGCTAAGCTTTTCCTGACCAAGCTATGCTGCACGGTGTCAAAGCTGTGATTTTCATTAAAAAGCTACACTTTCATTGGTACCCCTGTAATTTCAATACAGCAATTAATATTATCATATGATCGACAAATGAGGCCGTGATTTCGACAGGAGTTGAGGCCGGGGAGCCGAGCCCGGGAGCCGAGTGGGTCTCAAGTTGGTCCCGACTAAGGTAAACTCAACTGCTGCAATCCCCCCCGCAAACAGAATGATTACAACGTTTGGCAAGTGCTGAGGTCCCATAACGTCGCGGTGAACCTCAGACAACTAATATTATTAGTTGTCTGTGGGTGAACGTAGCAATATACTTCAGTCTGCAAACAAACCGAAGCAAAACAAAACAAAGGATATTTTCAGATACCGGTGAACATATCGGTGTTAAAGTCTCCCATACTGACTCCATTAATTTTAACTTCTGACCTTAACAGGTGGCAATAGACAACGCACAATAAATACAGGCATTTCTCTGTCAAGTAATTTTTTGATTAACTTCTAATGGTTTACCTTGTCAAACGCTTTTGTTGCGTCCATGAAACAAGCAAAACCGGGCGAGTTGTGACTTTTATAGAAGTCGACAATTTTCTTCACTACGAAGATACACATTTCTGTTGAATGCTTGCGTTTAAACCCAAACTGATAATCACTAGTCACGGTAAACTTTTCAATTCGATTTAAAATGCACAATTCAAATAATTTCGATAAAACGGTTACTATAGCAGCAGGTTTATAGTTATTCACTTTTGTGATATCTTTGTCTTATCTTTAACAATAGGGACAATCATTGTATCCATAAAATAGTCTGGCAGGTGTCCATGAACAAAGAATGCAGTAAAGCACAAGGCTAGTAGAACACACAGTATTTGATCCGCAAATATGATATGTTCCAAGCACAGTCTGTCTTTTCCAATACATTTTCCACTTTCCAATTTATTAATGGCTACTTTGATTTCATTACAGGTGACCATCATATCTTCGTGGTAATTCACGACATTCACAGCAGATATCACATGATTTCGTTTTGGCAATTTGTTAGAAACTGAAGAAGAGATTCATTTCCACATATTGCAAATGCTCATCACAACGCCATATAGTAGATGGTATAGTTCCAACATTGTTAGTCATACTACTTGATCATTTCACCCTGGAATCTCGTGATATCGTTTAGAGGTGACAGTTGGTATAGTATCCTCAGCCGCTACCCGGAATGATTGAACAATGTTAGCATAATAGCAGTTAAGAGCGATTATATGGTTTCGATTTTTCAATTACGATCACAACAATGTTATCTGGTGTAATAACGCCACACAGAACCTGAACAGTCCTAGATTGGTACCTTCTAACTTGATGTTGGGTTTTGGCATAATTCTATGGTAATTTCCAAATCGATGCTGGAGTTCAAATTGTGTCAGACCCACACACTCTATCTCAACGCTGAGAGGAAAGTGGTCCGACGACATAAAATAATTCATAGTACGTATTTTCTTAA